GGCCCCCCCCCCCCGCACCCCTGGATGAGCCGCCCATGCTCCAACTGTCCCAACACCTGGCCCAGCTGGAGCCCCACTCACTGTGCCCTGCTCCCTCTCTCACCACAAGGGCCTTGATCTGCTCCCCCAAGCCCCTTCCCCCTCCCTCACAGACTTACCTGCTGGGGGAGCATGCATGGGCCCACAATGCACCATACAAAGCAGTTGACTGTGGGATTCCACCACACTGATCACATAAGAGTGAATATACCTCTTATATACCAAATTTTTAGTATAAAAAGGATCACTGCATAAGAGCAAATTCACATATACAGAACCCACATAAAGCGAGGGAAACCTATATATAAAATAGTATATATAGTGTAGGCAGTTATCATGTACTTTAATGGGAGCCATGCAGGAACATTAGAGACCAAAATCTGGCCCTAGCTTGGTAGTGCTGTACATTTTCAGATAATAAAAAGGTTACGTATCCCTCTGAAGCAGGCATGCCAGCTTCTTGTACCAACAGCACACAGAAGAATAATACAGCTAGCATCACATCTGGTGGCTTTACACTCTCAACCTAAATGACCACATACACATTTATAGCTGAGCTACTTTTGTGTCAAGCTGGACATGTATGCAAACTCATGCCTCAGGCCACAGGTTAGGCATTACCCAGTCCTCCAACACATATGAAGCTGAGCCACTACACCTTTGTCCAAGAGTCATCCAATAGTCACTGGATAAAATGGATAACCAGCACTAGAATGGTGCCTGTCCAGTGCACTGTGCTTTCTATGAGCACACTTCATTAACAAATCTACTTCCATTTCCTGCACATCCTCCATAAATAAAAGTCATACACCTTTTCAGTGTCTGATCAAAGTACCACAATAAGTGGTTCCTTTTACAGGGTCCAAGATTTTTTTTTTTTTTTTTTTTACAAGAGACAAACATGATCCAAGTGAAAAAGAAAACATTAAATCAGGAAACAGCACAGATTAAGCAACTCTAATTTGTTTTATAAACTCCGCAAGCGTGATTCTTCTTAGCATGATAGTTTAAAATAGGATTTCATATACAAATGCTGTTTCAAAGTAATATGATCACTTTTTAAAAACTGCTGACCAACAGACAGTGATAATATTGTCTGCATACAACATATTTCTCTAGAAGATTAGCAAGTCTTCTTTATAAAAATGGCTTTTTGAATGATGTTATAAGCAAAAAAAACCACAAAAAGGAAAAGCTTTCAGTAAAAACCGACTTTCATGATCATATTCTCATTTTTAATTATTTTGACTTGCACAAAAATAATTTAAAAGGTGCTGATCCAAGACTCCCAGTCCCTAATACCTCATTCACAAAAGGAAAATCCAGCATCATCAAAATAATCCTTTCACAAGAATATAGCCAGTCAGTTGCCTACAAGAATTTCTCCCTATCTCTTCTCAATGGCAGAAAGCAACTGCCCTCCCCACAACTCGCTCTGGAAACCTCCATTTTAGAGACATGTCTTTTGAGAAAGGGACCAGAAGGTCACCAACTTCAGGGTGTCTTGGGCCATGCCCGAGAGAAGTTCCAGTCTGGGAATACTCACAGAAAATGCCCTGCCAGCCAATGCTCCCTCCTCGGTCAGTGAGCGCACCGCCTCGGTCCGGCGTGGGACACTTACCGAAAGGGGCTGAGGGGCGGAGGCCGGGGGCTGGGACCAGGGCCCGGGAGCTGGGGCCAGGGGACGGTGGCTGCGGCCTGGCGCGGGCTCCCTGGCTCCGGGGAAGTGCTCCGCTCCCCCACATCAGGGCCGGGGAGCAGAGCACTTCCCCACAGCCGACGGAGCCCGCGCCAGCCTCCATCCCTGCCTCGCCGCACCTCGGGGAGGAGCCGCTGCCTGTCTCAGGCAGGCTCCGCCGGCTCCGGGACACTGCTCCGCTCCCCGGCCCTGGCGCCACGTGCCTCCTCGCTCCCCGAGGCAATGCGGCGGAGCAGAGCAGTGTCCCGGAGCCGGCGGAGCCTCACTCGGGGCAGGCAGCGGCTCCTCCCCGAGCTGAAGCAAGGCAGGGATGGGGGCTGGCGCGCCCGGTCCTGATGCGGGGGAGCGGAGCACTTCCCCAGAGCCGGTGCAGCCCGCGCCAGCTTCTCCTGGTGCGCTCACTGCCTTGCGCCGCCGCCGCCGCGCACGCGCGCACCTTAGCGGGAACCTTGCTGCCAGCCCACTTCCTAAGTCAAAGGGATCCAGCTGGCTCCAGCTGAAGCAGTATTTAGTCTAGTGTCTAATCCAGCCCCTGCCTGAGTCCTGTCCAGACCCTCCTGTACAAGCCAAATCTAGAGAGCGGAGGGTTTGCTCACAGCACCCACAACCAAGAACATCCATGGGATGTGGCTCTGTACTGCTGGGGAAAACCACCAAGGGCTTCCTGTGGCCAGTTTTCCCCTCTGCCCCACAGCCAGGCCCAGCACTGCACCCCTCCAGCCCTGAGCCCCAAGGCAGCGCTGCACCAAGCCCCTGTCCCTGGCCCCACGGCAGGGGAGGAGGAGAAGGGGGAGAGCTCTGCCCACTGCACCCAGATTGCTCCTGGCTCCCCACGCCCAGGCCGAGCTGGGTTGTCATGAAGCTGCTGCGCTGGCAGGGCTCTCCCCATCCTCCTCCTCCCTAGTGGGGCTAGAGGAGGTGGTGGGGCTCTGTGTAGCACTGCCTCAGGACTTAGGACTGGAGGGGTGCAGTGCTGGGCCCTGCACTGCTCCAGCACCATGTGGCTCCCGGCTGCATGGCCATCACAACTGCTGTACCCCGGGAGCACCGGGCCCACACCCCAGGGCCAGGAGCAGGCGGGTGTGTGTGTGTATGTGTAGGAAGGCAGAGACATAATGTGGGGGGGGGGGGGGGGGAAGGGGGGGGGGG